TCTCTTCTAGTCAGCTGGCCAGGTAGCTATCTTCCAAATTTCTTGGCATAGACGAGTGAGTGCCTTCAGCGTGGCATCCATTTGTTGAAACATCTCAATGGGTATTTTGTCAATTCCTGGAGCCTTGTTTTTTGACAATTCCTTCAGTGAAGTTTCAACTTCTTCCTTCAGTACCATAAGTCTCTTGATGATATGCCACCTCCTGACATAGATGAACATCAACCACTTCTTTTTGGTACAGTGACTCTGTGTATTCCTTCCATCTTCTTTTGATGCCTCCTGCATCATTCAATATTTTGGCCATAGAATCTTTCAATATTGCAACTCGAGGCTTGAATTTTTTTTCTTCAGTTCTTTCAGCTTGAGAAATGCTGAGCATGTTCTTCCCTTTTGGATTTCTAACTCCAGATCTATGTACATTTCATTATAGTAATTGACTTTGTCTGCTTGAGCTACTCTTTGAAATCTTCTGTTCAGCTCTTTTATCTTGTAATTTCTTCCATTTACTTTAGCTGCTCTCCGTTCAAGAGCAAGTTTCAGAGTCTCTTCTGAATCCATCTAGTCTGTTCTTTCTTTCCTGTCTTTTTAATGACCTTTTGCTTTCTTCATGTACGATGTTCTTGATGTTATCCCACAATTGGTCTGGTTTTCAGTCATTGATGTTCAGTGCATCGAATCTATTCTTCAGATGGTCTAAATTCAGGTGGGATGTAATCAAGGTCATATTTTGGCTCTTGTGGACTTGTTTTAACTGTCTTCAGCTTCAACTTGTACTTGCATATGAGCAATTGATAGTCTGTTCCACAATCAGCTCTTGGCCTTGTTTTGGCTGAAGATATAGAGCTTCTCCATTGCCTCTTTGCACAGATGTAGTCAATTTAATTCCTGTGTATTCCATCTGATGAGATCCACATGTATAGCTGCCATTTATGTTGTTGTAAAAAGGTATTTGCACATTTGGGGAAAAAAAAGGGAAGGGGACCAGGTTTGCTGGTCTGATAGCACCTGGTAGAACCATTGAGACTATGACCCCTAGCTGCCCTTTAGGTCTGGAATTGAACCTACACCTGTGGGTTCCAGCCAAACAGAAGACAGGTATATGAATTGAACATTTACGTGGGGTAGATACACTCCTTGGAGAGAACAATCATAGGAGAAAGAAGGGCTGTTTATGCACAGGGAGACAGCTGAGGGGGCAGGAGTGCATGGAAGAATGGACACAGGGAAGAGGTGACTGTCGGGAGGAAGTGAGAGGGGAGTTGTTGCATTGGGGTAAATTGTAGTAAATGTCATGAGACAAAGTGTGTGTGAACTGCTGTATGGAAAGTGAATTTGCTCTGTAAACTTTCATCCAAATCACAATTAAAAAAAGAAGAAGGAGGAGGAGGTATTTGCAATGAATGTCATTGGTCTTGTAATATTCTATCATGTGATCTCCAGTGCCATTTCTGTCACCAAGGCCATAGTTTTCAACTACTGGTGATTCTTCTTTGTTTCCAACTTTTCCATTCCAATCACCAGTAATAAGTACTACATCTTGACTGCATGTTTGGTCAATTTCATACTGCAGAAGTTGGTAAAAATCTTCCAATTTTCTCATCTTTGGCTTCGTGGTTGGTATGTACATTTGAATAATAATAGGATTAACTGGTCTTCCTTGTAGGCATATGGATATTGTCCTATCATTGATAGCACTGTACTTCAGGATATATCTTGAAACCTTTGTGATGATGAATGTCATGCTATTCTTCTTCAATGTGTCATTCCCAGCATAGCAGATCATATGATTGTCTGATTGAAACTAGTCCACTTCAGCTCACTAATGCCTAGGATATTGATCTTTATGCATTCCATTTCATTTTCGACAACTTACAATTTTCCTAGGTTCATACTTTGTACACTCCATGTTCTGATTATTAATGAAAATCTGCAGCTGTTTCTTCCCATTTTGAGTCATGCCCCATGAGCAAATGGAGGTCCTAAAAGCTTTACTCCATCCACGTCATTAAGGTCAATTCCACTTTCAGAAGGCAGCTCTTTCTCCATCGTACTTTGAGTGCTTCTGACCTGAGGGGCTGATATAGTTCCATCTTCTGAAACTATATCAGATAATGTTTCAGGGGTATTCATAAAGTTTTCCAGTATTATATAAGACAGTATTTCACTGCTGTTTATAAGGTTTTCACTGGTTAATCATTTGAGAAGTGGATGGCCCCTTCCTTCTTCCAAGTCTGTCTTAGTCTGGAAGCTCCACTGAAACCCGTCCACCGTGGGTGACCCTGCTGGTATTTGAAATACTGGTGGCATAGCTTCCAGCCTCACAGCAACATGCAATAGGTGGTGCTCCACAAATAAATGATGAACAACAAATGGAAGGGGTCCTTTGGAGCCTAAATTACCTGAATGGGCTGTGGACATGGTCAAATGGGTCTGTCAGTCCTTTTCATACTCATTCCTGCTGGGAGATCCCTGGCCATGGATATAGATTTTAGTTTCTGGCTTCCAGGAGCTCCCTTGGTCTCTGTCTAGCTCTCTGCAGGGATCACTGGCCTGCGTGGAGAGGCTAGTCTCCTCCACCTGAGTAACTCTGTGGAGCTGAGAATCTTGGAGATGCTATAGGGGCTGGACTGGGGTCCCCAGGGCTGAGCCAGAGGCCTGGCCAAGGGCTGGGAGTGCTCTTCTCAGCTCTCAGTCGGCCAAAGGCCACAGCTCCCAGCTCACAACAGCTGTAGCCAAAGAGTGGAGAAGTAAGAGCATAAATTTATTTCCTCTGCAAAGTGAGTGTCCCCTGGGGCTGACCCAACCCCCCGATAACCAGCCAGAAGCACATTCTGACCAAAGCGTCCTCCAGGAGACCCCTGGCCTCCGTGAACAGGTCACCAAGGGCAGCTGCCTCATCAGGACCACCCCACCCCACTGGACCATCTGTGGCTTCCCTCTGAAGCCTGAGGCTGGCTCCTGTCCCCGTGGGTCCCTATGGGTTTGTCTGAGCAGCTCAAATGAGGAAGTAGAACAGAGGAGAGGGTGGGGAACTCCCTCCCTACCAACACACACAGCATAAAAAGACACATACATGCACCTTATGGGTAGTCTGATAGTAAATGGTTTAGACTAACAAAAGGTAATAAAGGAGTATTATTGTTGTTCCATGCCAAGGCATTGAGGAGGAAGGCAGAGGAAGACAGGAGGTAAAAGGGAAGAACTAATTGAACAACAGCTGCAGCTCCTGCCTCTGGCAAACCTGAATAGGCTAACTAACCCACCGCCATTGAGTCAATTCCAACTCATAGTGAACCCCAGTAGTTTTCCAAGGCTATAAATCTTTATGTAGAGCACCTGATGGGTTTGAACCACCAACCTTCTGGTTAGCAGCCAAAAGCCTTACCCGCTATGCTACCAGAGCTCCTGAATAGGTTAAGGGTATTATAATTCAGTCCCTTGGAGCCCAGGCCAAGACATCCCCTCACTCATGGGCTGTGGACATGGCTTCCATGCTGGAAGCCCCACTCACTCACTGGGCTGGGTGTGCGGCAGCCCTCTAGGGAAGGGAAAGGGATTGTATGCTTGCTTTTAAGGTGTTCCCAGTGATTGGCGCCTGGTCTCTCCCCAACTTTGGGACTACTTCTTGGGAGTTCCTTGTTAGGGGAGAGGTGAAACCCAGGGTTTTGCCTAAAGTAGCTGGGAGAAGACACTCCAAGGTGCCATAGGAGCAGGTGTGAGCTTCCCTGAGGGCAGGCTTGGGACTGCCCGTATAGGACCATCCAGGGCCAGAGACTTGACCTGGGCCCCACTTGAACTTCAGCATGTCAAAGCCAAAGGGATGTCTAGCTAAGCACTCATGTTAGAGATGAAACAACGAGGCAGAGGGAAAGTCAATGTCACATGTGAGTTGAAGAAAAAGCCTGGGCCTCTGCGTCCTACTTGAGGGTTCTTTTGATTCTCAGGTCTCTGGAAAGGCATTTCATCCTTCTGAGCCTCAGTTTCCGCAGTTGTCAAGGTCGCAAGGGAGGAGAAACCCGATGTGTTCCCAGGCACTGTGATGTGCTTTCTTATGACCTGATGAGGTGGATGCTATTCTGGCCACATGTTTCAGATGAGGAAACTGAGGCTCAGACAACTCATGCCTTTTCCATGTTCCCCACGATGTCTGCCCTGCTTCCATTTTCTGCTATTGCCCACTGCTCCGGCAGACACACTCCACTGGATAAGCTCTTTCTGGACTAGAATACTTTATTCAAGAGAATCTGGCTTGGCAGTCAGATGGCCCCGCAGGGGCAGCTTGTGTGAGGTGCCAAGGCTCTCAGGGAACCTGCTCCCTTGCCACACGCCACTGGGGTAGGACATATGAGCCCCTTCCCCCAGTGACTCCCATCCTTGTTGGCTGAGCCTCTTCTTGTCCAGCTCAGGGCCCACCTTTTGCCTGTGTCCTTGTGAGGGAGGGGCAACCTGGTGGAGCCTTGGCCAGAAAGAACAATGTCCCAGCACAAGCAGTGACAAAATTTGAGAAGAGACCATAAGGGGATAAGGAGCAGCAAAGGCCCCCAGGCAACTACTGTTCTCTTAGTCTCTCAGAGCTGAATGTTCTGATCTCCGTGGGGCAAAGCTGCTGCCAGGAAGAGGAGGAAGTGGCTGGACCACCCCCAGCCTTCCCACTGCCCCACCCAGCTAGGGCCATGGCAGCCCAGAGCAGGCTCCTCCAGCCTCACTTGCCCGGAAGCTTCCAAAGCAAAGGTATGTCCGTGTAGAGCCCAAGGCCCACAGGCGATGGGTCCCCCTAAGGCCTCTGGGGCCTGACTTGCCCCTGACAAGACCACGTCTTTCTTCTTCTCAAGCTGAAGTATCCACCGGTCTGTGACCACCTTCTTTCTTTCTCTCACGTTCTGTGTAAGGCACTGAATTCCTGAGGGTCCTGTCCATCCCTATCCCTCATCTTGGAGAGAGCAAGTCATTCAGCAGGGATACAATTGGCTAATAAATAGGGTGCAGGTGCCAGCAGGGAGGTAACTGAGAGTGTGACGGTAATAAATACAGGAGCCGGGAGTAGGGTCTCTCTCCTCCAAGGGGCTGGTTACCTCCGGGGGACTGCATCACCGCACCTGCCAGAGACCAAACACAGACAGGGGGTATCAGCATGTGGTGGAGGCTGGGGTCCCCTCCTATGGGAGGGGGAGACAGACTCAGAGGGGAAGCTTGGACAGGGAGCGCGGGGAAGATGCAGCACTCCTGGGTCCCTGCTAGCACTGCAGCAAGAAGAAGCTAGGAGCTACCCTTTCGCCTAGCACTTACCCAGGTGCCCAGCCCTGTGCCAAGCACTGTCTCATTTACCTTTAACAACATCGTCGAGGAAGGCACTGTTATTATCCTTCTCTCACAGAAGATCACACGCTAGTCAGTGGCAGAGTGAGGATTTGAACCTAATCTGAATTCATGCTATAATGCCTCTGGTTACCCTAGGACACCAAACCAAACCAAACTCACTGCCATTGAGTCGAATCCAACTCATAGCAACCCCTCCTTGGGTTTCCAAGGCAGTATCACTACAGAAGTAGATGGCCCAGCCTTCCTTCCGAGGAGTGGCTGGTGGGTTTGAACCTCCAGCCTCCTGGTTAGCAGTGAAATGCCTTGGGCACTATGCTAGGTACAGCACTCCTCAAACAGGGATACATGTACCCCTGGACATATATGAAGACTGTCCGAGGGGTACGTGGGTACTGATAGTTTTAAAGAAATCCATTTGCAGCCTCCACCTGCCCTGTCTTAAACCTGCATGAAAAAGTGCCTGGTGTCTTCCCCACAGCCCCCTTCCCAGCTGCCCTTCTCCTTTTAGAAAGAAAAGACAGCATCTTGTCCATTTCAAACCCTGTTACAGCACTTTGCCCCAAGGTAAAAATACTTGGAAACACTAAACGAAAGAACAGTTTCAACTATTAGTTGGTGAAGATATTAACAATGAAATATGACTAATGACCGGGCAGCCACAACTTGTGCAAGGCAGGTGGTGTTCAAATCTTTGTTTTCAACAAAATTGAAAAATGACATAACCGAATTGTCAGCTAATATAGCACTGAAAATAATTTGGGCTGGCAGATCACCAAGAGTTCTTCGGCAATTAATGTGAAAGGAAACCAAGTAACTGAGACATTGATAAAAATGAAATTCCTTCCAATCCCATTTACTTATTTATATGAACAAGGCTCCTCCACTTTCTCATCTATTAAAAAAATGATACACAGGACTGGAATTAATGCTGCATTCTGCCTCAGTCTGGTGGGAAGTCACACATACTAATGGATACATTAGCTAATTGAAAGGAAGTGTCTACATCCATCACTGAGATGCTTTCCCAGTAAGATTCAGTCTATGTTTAATGCTTATTTAAATACAATGCATTCATACTGTTTTGCACAATTGGTACTGTTGCTAATTATTTTGATAATTCATTCCAAAGAAATTTCAACTTAAAGTTTTATGCTCACAGGAAATCTAAAATAATTCAAATTCATATACTATTTTTTTGGTTGAAGAATATGATAAGGTGATAAATAAAAGATTTTCAGCATTAAAAATATATTAAATTAGGCTGAAATTCTGTGGGGCATGGGAAATACAAATTCAAGGGGGGAAAAAGCAATATACATACACAATTGCAGCCACTAAAGAGGGTATTGATGCATTTTTTTTGGTTGGTGCTATTCATTTTTAAAAAACTAGGTGATGGCGAGTATTAAATTAGCATAGCATATGATTCCATAGGATACATCTGAAGAGCTATGTAACAGCTTTATATTAAAGTAGAAATGTTTATCATAAGAGCTCTGGTGGCATAGTGCTTAAGGCATTTGACTGCTAACTAGAAGGCTGGCGGTTCAAACCCACCAGCCACTCCTTGGAAGGAAGGTTGGGCAATCCACTTCCATAGTGATACTGCCTTGGAAACCAAGGAGGGGTGCCTGTGAGTTGAATCGACTCAATGGCAGTGAGTTTTTAATGTTTATCACAGACCAGAAAGTATATCTTTTGTAACTGTTTATAACTATGATGAAAAGGTTCAAAGCCAATTAAAAAATGGTCACATGGTTTTTGAAATTATTTCAAGAGGTTTCTGGATAAAATGTTTGAAGATTGCTGTCCTGGGAAACAGGGCATGGGACACTGTGTGCATCAGGGGCTGCTCGGCCAGGCGGGCCCTGCCCTGACTTCAGGGCCAGCTCCTTCTTTAAATCTCAGCATGGGCCCAGGCGAGAGAGACCTGTTGTCACAGAGGTGTGTAGGTGGGAGGGGTGGCTCAGTCTGTGGATGGGGCAGGGGCAGAGGCAAGGGCAGGACTTGGGCCAGCTCTACTCCCATAGCATGAACTGATTTCTCAGGGTCTTGGAGCTGAGAGAGTCCTTCAACCTTGACTGTGAACTTGTGCTCTGACTGATTACTGTGCATCTGAAATAGTTTTTTCTTTTTTTACTATTTACCCTTATGGATTTGGGTTTGGGTTTTTCCTTCTGTCATCTTTCTCTAAAGAGTTCTGGTGGTACAGTAGTAAAGGCAGTCAGCAGCTAAAGGTCGGTGGTTCAAATCCACTAGCTGCTCCATGGGAGAAAGATGAAGCAGCCTGTTTTCATAAAGATTTACAGCCTTGGAAACCCTATGGGGCAGTTCTGCTCTGTCCTATAGTGTTGCTATGAGTTGGAATTGACTTGATGGCAGTGGGCTTTTTTAAAAAAATCTTTATCTACCAGCCACATTCAGGCCTGGGGGACTCCAGCCTGCTGCCCCAGGTGAGGAGCCAGATGGGCAGGTAATATGGAGAGAGGAACAAGAAGCAGCAAGGGGACCCTCAAAATCCCCTAGGATCCAATGGGGGATTGTACCTTTCCCTGGAGCCACTAGGAAGTAGCCCTAGATTACTTTTTGGGCTGCTGGAATTTTCTCTAGGATGTAAGCACCGTAATAGCAGGAATTTTGTTTGTTTTGTTCACTGATGTACCTGGCACCCAGTAGGTATTTGGTAAGTATTTGAAGAATGACTGAATGCTTGATGGAACTTTTACCCACTCATTCTACTAGGCTCAGAAAAACTAAGCTCAAAGAAGTGAAAAGACGTGCTCAAGCCCATACACAACGGTAAGCTAGGACAAGAACCAAGGTCCACTGATGCTTCTTGGCTCCTAGAATCTCTAAGAGGTGCAGCTCCCTGTTCTGGGCCCAAGACTGCCCTAAGCCTGGCCTTTACCCCTCCCGGACCGATGACCCCTGCTGACAGGGCAGGGGCTCCCCTCTAGCCCAGCCTCCTGGCCATCCCTGGGCCCTCTGCCCCGCACACTCACAGGTGGCAGTCTGTGGGTCTCTGCTTCTCTCTCTTCCTCTTCCCCCTGCCCTTGAGTCTCCTCCTGCAATAAGCCAAAAGCGTCAGGACAAGGTGGCTGGGGGCCCCCATGCTAGGACAGGGACTGGCAGGAACAGCCCCAGCCCCAGCCAGGTCACTTACCTTTCTGGCTTCATCTTCTCCCGCAAAGGCCTGGGAAAACAGAGAGAGAGAGGCAGGGGAGAAACAGGAAAGCAGTAAGTGGGGGTTCCCTGTTGCTACTACACCTCCCCTCAGACATCCGAGTCCTGGCCTGAAGTTAGCACCAGGGCCACTAGGGGGTGGCATGGAGCTAGAGAGGGAGATATGGTCCAAGGCGTCTAGGCTTCAGCTCCCACTCCAGTCTCTGGGACCCCACCAAGAGAGGGATTAAATTCCCTCTTGGGGTCAGTTCCACACCCCTATACACCCCTCAGCCTCTTGACATCAAATCTGGGCACTTGTGAGTCTCTGCTGTCCCACTAGGCCCATCTCTGTTCACTTCCTTCCCTTGCTCCTGCCCTGCCTTCTAGGTGCATTCTGGGTATTTCCTCAAGGATGATAAACGACAGGCCAGGCCATGAACTGGAGGATGGCTGCCTTGCTGCCAGGTAAGACTGCCCGTCAACACACAACACCACCACCATCACTACCCTAGGGAACACGTGACAAGAGTGGGTGAGGAGGTGAGAGGAGGTGAGCACAGCCCCGCAGTCATCAGGCCTCCCTGCGCTGTGGCTACTGGCCCAGAAGAGAGAAGAAATGTGTCCCTGTTGCCTGCCCCATCAGAAGGGGAAGGGTCTATCTTCCCTGGGGTGGAGGCACAGAGCAACATGGTAAGAGTCAATTTCAGTGCTGGGGAATGCTGCCTGAAGCTGGCTGTCTTCCTGGGGAGCCAGGGCAGGGTACTGGGGCCTCTTGGGGCTGTCCTGGTTGTGTCTCTACCATCTTAGGCAAGTCAGGGGAACTCCCGGAGCCTCGGTCTGTTCCTCTGCCTGCCCCAATAGAATGGCTATGGGGCAAAGGTGATGTAGAAAGAGAAAGGTCACCATCCAGCATTGGTTGGGAGGGTTCATTACTGAACTATTGTTATATGGCTAAGCCTTGACTGGGAGGGGTGGGAGGAAAAGGATTGAGGCAGGGCTCCCAACACTGGCACAGTGAAGAGGGCCTAGAGCCTGGGCTCAGGGCCAAAAGGGGCAGTAGAGCCCCGGACATTAGGCAGGGCAAGCTCAAGACAGTGCCTGGACTCTTGGAGAACGTGGTAATGGCCACGAGTAGTGCAAAAAGGGTAGCCTTAGAGGTCGGGGTTCAAATCCCTCCTACCACACTTATTAGCTGTGGCAAAAATCACATAATTCTACCAAGCCTTAATGTCCGCATCTATAAAATGGGGATGGCAATAGTACCTACCTCCCAGGGTTGTTAGGAGAGCAGGGACCTCGTCTGTCTTGTTCACCACTATATCCCAAGCATCTACAACAGTAGATGCTCAATAAATATTTGTGAAAAATGAAAAACACATTAAAGTATGGGGCTAGGCACCAATGCTAGTGCTCTGCCCTCTTCCTGCCCAGGACAGGGCCCTGGTGCTCTAGTCCGGTGCCTCTATCCACAGCCCCGTGGCACCAGGAGCAGCATCTCAGACCCCTTCTCTCCTTCCTAAAGCTGGATGACAGTGCCAGCTCTGCTGTTCCTGGCAGCTAAGGTTCAAAGTGTCCCTGGACACAGGTGGCAAGGCTGGTGTTGGTCAGAGGCTCTGCGGGGTGGGGTGGGGCGGGGCTTGGGTCCTCGACTTTAAAGAAAACACAACGCCTCCTCCCTTCTAGCCCTTCTCTCTCCCAGCCCTTGTCCCTCTTTCTGCCCCTCAGCCCAGTTTGCCCCATCTCGTGGGCACACAGCCTGGTCCAGAATGAAGCCCAGGCTTGCAGTGTCTTTGCCTCCAAGAGCCTCTTCCAGGGGCCTGTGGTAGCTCCTCCCATCTCAGGTGGGAGAGGGAAGATGTGTCCCCAGTGCCTGTGAAGGGACCCAGGTTCACCTTGCCCTGTGGTGTCTTGGCTAGGGCCGGGACCAAATGACAGGCAGCTGCCTCCAGATGTCTCGGAGTGGGCCCCTGATTTGGGTCCTTGATTTCCCTGGTCTCCCTCGGCCTATAGCAGGGATGGGCAGCCATAGCCTCTGCCCGGGAGCCCCTTGGACCCACCTTCCTTGAGGCTTCCAGGTGCACAGGAGCCTGCCCCTACACCCTGCTGCGAGGACCTACCTGCACTCGCAGTGCACGTGCTGAGAGAATGTCAACTCCACATAGGAAGGTGGGTCCCCAGAGCGGATCTTCAGGAGCTGTGGGGAGAGAAATGTGGATGCCTGGATTGGGGGGTGGCCCGTGGGTTTCCAACAGCCCGCTCTCCCCCTCCCTCCCGCTGAATGGTCCTGGGCAAGTGAATTGACATCTCTAAGCCTCAACATCCTCAATTATAAAATGAAGACAGCACCTGACTCGAAGGATCGAAAGAGACAACCTTTGTAAAGTACTCAGCATAGTTCTTGGCATTTCTCAGTGAGTCCTCAATAAACCAGGCTCCGTGTGTGTGTGTGTGTGTGTGTGTGTGTGTGAAGCTCCAGGAATGAGCTTGCTTGAGAGGGCACCAAGGGTTCCCAGCACAAACAGAAAGAAAAATCAAACCAGTTGCCATCAAGATGATTCTGACTCATGACAACCCCAAGTGTTTCAGAGTGAAACTACTTTCCATAGGGTTTTCAGTGGCTGAATTTTTGAAGGAGATCACCAGGCTTGTCCTCCAATGCACGTCTGGGTGGATTCGAACTACTAACCTTTTGGTTAGTAGCTGAGTGCTTAACTGTTGGCACAACTCAGAAACTCGGTCTAAACAAGGCCATCTTTAATATGATCAGACTTCTTTCCCAACCTCCACCTGAGCATTTTCAAACCCATTCGGCCCTGGGACAAGGCTAAGCTTGGATAGGGATGACCAGGGTGAGGGTGAGTGGCTCAAAGCCGTAACTGGGGCTCAGGAGGAGGGCACGGTGCCTGGGTAGTGAGAGCACTGGCCTAAGAGTCAGGTTCCAGTTCCTATGACCTGGGTCTGCCCTCATTCTCTCTGAGTCCCTCCAAGTGGGCAGGCTTCGTGGTTCTCTGAGCAGGAGGGTGGGCAGTGGGGCCTGGGGAGGCGTGCAGAGTCTTTCCCTACCTGCATAGTGATGTTGACTGTCTCCACGGGCACACAGTTCAGGTTCTCGTCCCCACAGCAGCCTGTGCAGCGCAGCAGGGAGACGCAGGATGGGCTGAACATGTGTTCCACCTCGTTGGGGTACTCAGACACAATGTCCACCAACCTCTCCAGGGCCCGGCAGTAGCTGCGGCCCCACACCTCCTGGAAGGGCACCACTGTGCGGAGGCACAGATGGACAGTCAAGTCAAGGGAGACCCTGTCCCCAAGCTGCAGACCTGGCTCCTAGTCCCCCTCCCCCAGGAAGCTCCCAACCCTCTCTGAGCTCCCCCTTGCACTGAGGTCATGATGTGACCCCTCTGAGGATGACTGCAGGGCCCTTGCTCATGTGCTGGATGGAAATCCCAGTCGAATGGGATGTCTCGGGGTCCCGAGTCTTGGCTCTAGTCTCAGCCCAGGCACTGCAGTTCCCACCTCAATGCCCTAGGGACTCCAAGGAGTGTACCCCTGGCAGCTCCAAGGCCTCTGGAGCTTTCTCAGGCTTGCCCTGGTGCCTCCCCCTTCTTGGGAACTTTGCAGAAACCACTCAGATCAACACAACAAACTCAGATCTGGGGTTCCCCAGGGAGGGCTGGCCTTTCCTACAGCCTTCTAAAAACCTTCCATGGATCCCCTCTTTCCTGCATGGTGACGTTGACTGCCTCCACGGGCACACAGTGCAGGTTCTCGTCACCACAGCTGCCCGTGCAGCACAGCAGGGAGACGCCCAATGGGCTGAATATGTGCTCCACCTCATTGGTGCCAACTCCTCTACGTGGCAACCGAGACCACACTCAGCAGTGTGCCCCACCCCGACTCCCCGTTTTTGTCTGACCGGCCCTCACCCTGAGCAGGGGCAGTACCATGGGAATTCCCACCTTTGGGATTGTGCTCTTCATGGTCCATTTCTATCTGAAACCTACCCCTTATTTCTCCAGGCCCTTCTCCCACCTCCTCTCTGAAGCCTCCTCCAACATTCCAGCAGGAGGGACAGATGTTCCTCCCTTGTGCATAACACAGTCCCAAGGGCTTGCCTTATCTCAGCCATTGGTGGCTCTTATCTCCTTTACAACCAAATCAAGCCTCTGCCAGGACAGGACAGGGACTGAGGCCCCAGTAAACACAGGCTAAGTAATTACTACTTGATTAGAAGACAGTTCACTGAAGATTATCAGGGACATCCCCAGCCCCCACAATCCCATGGTGGTCATGAATCGGATTTTGGGGGCTGATCTAGAACCCTTCAAACAGTAGCATAACTATGGGGGTGCAGGAGGTGCAGACCTCACTGGGTGACACCATCAGGGGGTGACACCAAAATTACTATCTATAAAAGTTTTGTGCAATGTTTCAGCAGAAATTTACTATTTTTAATAAAATTATTCCTGTAATTATAACAACAAAAACATTTTTCATAAACCCAGCTTAAAAAAAAAAAAAAACTCACTGCTGTCAAGTCGGATCTGACTCATAACGACCCTCCTTGGGTTTCCGAGGCAGTATCTCTACGGAAATAGATTGCCCAATCTTCCTTCCGAGAAGTGGCTGGTGGGTTTGAACCGCCAGCCTTCTGGTTAGCAGTCAAATGCCTTAGGCACTATGCCACATGTATCAATATGCCCACAAGGCTAAAACTTGATGCTAATTTACTGTTGAACCTTAATGCACTCCAGTCAGTGCTGTCTTTATGACATAATTAAAATGATGCTTTGAATCACATGGTTTTGTCTGCACATGCAACAAGCACGGCTGTTGTTTTCACTGTGGCCGGTGTTTTTATAGTCTCTGATTTTGTCAAATGTTCTGATGTTTTAGCTACAATATTTCTGAATCTCTATCTAGCTAGTATTTCTGAGTCTTTATCAGTGAAGCAGTAATTAAGGGAAAAAAACAAAACAAAACACTGTCATTCAGTTAATTCTGACCCATAGCGACCCCCATTGGGTTTCCAAAGGAGTAAATCTTTATGGAAGTAGATTGCTCCGTCTTCCTTCCACAAAGTGGCTGGTGGGTTTGAACTGTCAACCTTCTAGTTAGCAGTCAAATGCACCACCAGAGCTCCTTAATTAATTAAGGAAAAGAAAGAGAAAAATCAGAAAGGTTTCCACTCGGTTACTAATAATATTGTAACTAATAATGTTATAATTCAATGTAGAAAGGCTTTACAAAACAATGTTGTTGTTTGACTGCTAACCAGAAGGCTGGCGGTTCAAACCCACCAGCCACCCCTCGGAAGGAAGATGGGGCAATCTACTTCCGTAGTGATACTGCCTCGGAAACCCAAGGAGGGGTCGCTATGAGTCGGGTCCAACTTGATGGCACATAACAACAACAACAACAACATTCACATAATGTAAGGAATATTACATTTAAGGAATTCACAACTATATCGCATATTATTCTATGATTAAAATTGATAATAAACATTATTAAGGATTCTGTATGGTCTGGTTTGGAGAAGGGGACAACACCATGAATTACAGCACTGAGTGACACCAATCCTAGTGACACAATGTCCTTCAAAAGCCTTCAGGGAAAGGCCTGGAGGCAGGTCCCAAATAGCCACAAATGAAGTGAGTGGCCAGAGCCAGTAGACCTGGCTTCTAGCCCAGGCCCTACACGACTGTGTTACCTTACCAAAAACCAAACTCACTGTCATTGAGTCAATCCTGACTCATAGCGACCCCTCCTTGGGTTTCTGAGGCAGTATCTCTACGGAAGTAGATTGTCCAGTTTTCCTTCCAAGGAGTGGCTGGTGAGTTTGAACTGCTAGCCTTATGATTAGCAGTCAAGTGCCTTAGGCACTATGCCACCAGAGCTCTTTAGGGAAGTCACTAAACCTTTCTGGGCATACCAGTGTCTCCTCAGCTGGGGAAAGAGAAGATGGTTGGAAGATGGTTGCTAAGGTCACTCCAGCTCTGCCGATGGGCTGCAACCCAGCCCAGCCTTGAGCTCGTGGTTAGAGAAACCTGTCCTGCCCTGAGTCATCCTGCCTGCACCTCATGGTCGTCTCCAGCTGGTGCAGAAGGACAGGGAAGCTGGGTCACCCAGCAGCCCTGCAGACTCTGCCCGTGGAGCAATGGCCTCTCCCAGCAGCCCCTCACTTCTTCCACGGCCCTTCCTAGGAGGTAGAAGGGGTCAAAGTTCATTCCACTGAGCCATTGAGGATGTGAGTCCTAGGCTAATCTCAAATGGAAAATAAGCCTCAACCCTAGCAGAGGCCCTCCCGGGAAAGGCTGCAAGTGGGTGGAAAATACCCAAGAGGCGGTATGTCCACGTGGAGCTGGCTGCGGTGGCCAGAGGCAATAAACCACGCTTATCTGAGTGTCTGCTGCTCCTTTCTGCCGGCTCTGCTCAGGGGGCACTAGGGCTGGGCCCGGCCTGGAAGTGGGCCCCAGAGGCCTCCCCTGACTCCACCTTGCCAGGCTACTGGGACACACCCCCTACACCCAAGTGGTAAACCAGGCTCCTCTCCCCAGGGACGGCCCTGAAGCCAGGGGAAGCTGCCTTTGCAACACAGCATTCCCATATCGTCAACTCCATGAGTTGTGTGTTTAGTCTAAAATCTTCACGAGCACTGATGTGACTCTGGGCGTTTAATCTTCTTGGAAGACATAAATAACAGCGGAGGAATAGCCAGACGCCAAAGCGCCCAGAAGGCCGGACCCCTGCCCGGGACCAGCCATCAGGGAGGGCGAGGGCAGCAGAAAAGGGCCCCTCCAGTCCCCTAACATCACATACACAGACGCCCACCCAGCTGGGCTGTGGGGGCCATGGCTAGGTTAAGCAGAGCTGGCTCAGCCTTGGCAACAGAAAAAGGGATTTCCTTTCTAACTCCTACCCCGTGGACATGCAGACTCTTCTTGTCAGCAGGACCCAGGCTCCAGGGCCCTGAAATCCTAAGACTTCCCGGGTGGCCCATGTTGGGGAAGGGCAGAAAGGGAGGTGGGCCAGGACTGTTCTACCTGGCAGCCACCAGGAAAAAGGGCAATGCGTCCCTGGAGGCCCTGCCGGGGTTGTGGGAGAAAGGGAGGGGGCAGGGCGAGGGGCCCAGCGGAGGGAGCCAGCGCGCAGTGACCGCTCCCAGATGTGGGCCGAGCCCCTCAGGAAGAGCTCTGCTCAGCTGCTCCTGAGAGCACTTCCTCTGGCCCCAGACCTGCTCCAGAGGTGGGGGTGGGGTGAGGGGAACGGGAGGCTGTGGTTCTGTCAGGCGCCTGGCCAGGCCTGGGCGGTCCACAAGGGCTGCCTCTGGGGCCACGAGGGGGCTCCCGGCTCTCTTGCTAGCCCTGGGGATAAGCCTCCCATCTGGCCTCAGCTGCCCACCACCCAAGAGAGAAGAGCCCCAGGAAGCTGAATCCTGGGAGCAAGGTTCTGAGGAAGCCAAACAGGAGGGGCCACAGGGCTGGGCAGAGCTGCTGGCCACTGGCCCGAGCCTGGCAGGTGTTCTCCCCATGGTTACCGGCAGCAGGGCACGCAGCCAGCCTGGCGCAGGGGACACCCTGCTCATGCCTGCTCAGCCGCTGAGCCGTTAGGAGCCTGGTTGTGGGCACTCAGCTCAGCCACATCTACGGGAAGGGGAGTGTCTGAGACGTCAGGCCTCTCGGCCTCAGGTTCTTCATGTATAAAACATGGAGCTAGACACCAATGCCTTCCTAGTTCACAGCCTTGGGGTCAGGACAGAATGACAGTAAACAGTAAAAATCAGTGTCTGTGGCTAGAAAGCCTTTCTCTCAATACGGACCCTGTTAGAACGAGGGGATGGCATTTTCAGATTTTGATAACTGGGGGCCAAAGGTCATCATACTTCCCTTGGCCACAATACAGGCTTCGAGACTCCCTGATTGACTAGGATGACAAGTGAGGTCACCCTCAGTTATTCTAACCTAAGGAATCTACACTTCCGTGCCTCCTCACCCTGGTCCCTGGAGTTTTCCAAGGAGTCACAAAACCCTCTAAGTAATCTTAAAAGGAAAGAAAGGAATGTTAAGAATCATGGCTCTAATGCACCCATTTTACAGATGAGGAAATTGATGCTCAGACTTCTCTGATAACTACTGCTTGAACTACACTGAAAGCATCAAAAAGGGCATGAGGTGGAGGGAGGGCGGGTCCCCCTCCAAATTTCAGAAAACATAATATTGTGCCAGTCCCAAAGGGCACACTGGGGTAGGGGTGGGTCAGTAAAGTCATGGGCAGCTGCTCCCCCCACCTCCTTGGGTGGCCAAGGATCTGAGCATGGACAGGCCTGGGAGAGGCTGACTGCCAGGTGGACAGGTGGGTGGGTGGGTGGGCTGATAGTCCTGCAGAGGGTGTTCCCAGCTCCCAGACGGCTATCACTCGTGTGCCTGTGCACGTCCCTACACGCCCCCTCTCCCAGGGCGCTGTGGGAAGCCTCGGCAATAGTGTGTGGCCACTCTGCACGTCTCAGAGACTCAGGGAGGGTGGAGTGAGGCCGGGGGCCTGGCATGGGCCTGCTGCCTTCTGCACGTATGTCTCTTTGGCAAACGTCTCACTGTCTTTTGAAGATTCCCTCTCGATGCAACCCGGAGTGGGAAGTGGAGAGGCCGGGAAGGGCAAGACTCATGTTCTGTCTGTTTGTAATCAATGAAAGCCTACTCAGATGCCTGCTGCTGGGAAGGTCCCCTCACCCCTCCATGACCCTTTTGACTGCTTGCCCACCGAGTCCAGCTACCAGACTTCCAGTGTGGCCCCTGTCATTCACTTCCTGACTGACCCTCCGGGACCCTATCCATTCCCTCATGTCATGCTGGGGAAAGGGCTATGAGCCAGCCAGTCCAACCCTGAGTATTCTGGTCTCAGCCTTCCTCTCTGTGTGCTGGGTGACCCTGGTACAACTCTAGGCCTCTGGATCACAGTCAGGGGATGTCTCAGGTCCCACTAATTTCATCAACCAGGATATCTAGCTGGTAGACTCTCCTTAACTTATTATTATCCTGTACCCACTCTTCGTGTCAATCCCTGCCCATCTTCCTTAGCTTGGGAGTAAAGAGGGGAGGGACTTGGTGAACAGGTACACCCCCAGCCCAACCAGCTTACCTTCCACTTCTGATGAACTGTTCCCAGCAGACAAGGCCACCTGCTGTGAACAGAAAGGTGCAGAGATGACCAGAAGTCTACCTTGGGTATCTTCACTCTGGAGCCAAGAGGGTTAGCAAGGGGGTGGTGGGCCCTCTGAGCTCCTTCCCACTGGCTCTACGTACTTTCTCTGTGCTGTTTTGGATCTGCCGCTTTCCAGGTGCAACCAAAACCCCACCAGATCCTTGGTGAGTCCCTCCCATCTGTGGCCTCAGTGTCCTCATTTGGAAAAGGAGAGGAGGCTAGAGGCTTATTGGAGGCCCTTTGCCTGTGGGGGTCTCCCTTCTGTTCAGCCCCCAGCCCAGCCTTGCTGGGCCCTGTACAGCTCGCCTTGGCCTGGTGCCAGAGTCCAGGGGAAAGCAATCAGCTGGTGGGAGCCGAGGGGCTAGAGCGGGTGGCGCCATGGACTGGTGTTGCCGGTAACGTTACACCTCTGGCCAGCCCTGCACCAGGCAGGCGGTGGCGGGGGCTCCTGGGCCCCTGGGGCGCTGCACAGCCCACCCCACTCCTGGGCTGGGGCTGGGGACTCCTGGAGCAGTGGGGCAGCACAGTGGGAAGGGAACTCATTGCCTTTGTCAGGATTTCACTGCCCAAGCTGGCTCTCGGCCAGATTCACCCAGTTCCTGGGAAAAGGGCCCTGCTCACTTCCCAGGCCCCACACTCAGGACCTCCGGCCACCCACCCGGGAGAGAGAGCACAGCGAGACCCCTTGTCTTGTCCCCAGCCCACCCGGGAGCCCCCAGCTCAGCCCTGCGCCCTGATGGGGGCAGGGCCCAGCTTCCCCACTGCCGGCCTCTTCAGCCGGCTTCCCCCAAACCAGGCCAGGTCAGAGGTCCTGGGGGCGCTTGGTCACAGAGCCTCGACCCTGACCACAAGGCCAGGGTCCTGCCTGGGATTAGTGGAGAGATGCTTCTAGCAAAGTCACCAGGGATCCAGGGGCCAGAAAGGAAACCTCTCTCCCTTCTCTGTGGCTTCCTCACCACCACCAAGACAGACCCCAGGAGCGGAAGTGGGGGGCCGCCCAGCCTGAGGTGTCCTTCCAGGGGACACAGGTCCAACCTGGCTCCTGGGAAGGGTTGGGACATCCTCGGAGGTGCCGCTCCCTGGGTAGTCTATGACTGCAAGATCCCGTGCTTCTGCTCAGAGTGCTAGCTGGGGGGTGGGGGTGGGCAGCTCAGGGCAGCCAGGCTTGAACGGGGCTTTCTTTCTTACCTGGGGGGGCACAGCGGGCAGTGCCAGCCCAGCCAGGAGCTGCAGGAAGCAGGTGACCAGCCTCATAGCAGGCATCTTCTCAGACGTCCCGGGCCAGGGGGCTCCGAAGGAAAACCACCATGCTCATCCCAAGGGGAGCCCCTGGCACAGGAGGAGAAGAGCCCACTGGGGGCACTCACTGCTGCCCCGAGGCGCCCGGCCCGAGCATCCTCTCAAAGCCCTGGGAATCTGGAAGCCGTAGGTAAGTCTGTGCTGTGATAACTTGATGGGGGGCAGCCGGCAGGGCAGGGCAGTGGGGAGCAGGCGAGTTCCTGCGGAGGGTCCGTCGCGTGCCCAGTGAGACCTCAGGTCCTCTCGTGGCTGGACAGGAGTCTGAAGATGCAGTCTCCCCCACAGACAGCAGCAACCTTCTGAGACTGAAGCTTGTCGGCGACTGGCTTTAGAGGCTGGGAATAGGGGCGGGGCTTCAGGTCATCCCCGCCCACTGGGGGAGGCTCCAGGCAGGCGAGGCGGGGCGTGCAAGCTCCGGACTCGCGGGCTCTGACCCCAGAGTGCGTGGAAGATCCTAAAGCCCTGCCTGCCCGAGCGCAGCCCGCAGCCTCCCCGGGGGCCACCGACGAATCCAGGCAGCATCAGTGCCGGCCAGTGGAGAGAGTCACAGAACTGCTCGGGCTCCTCTGGGCCAGGCACCGTGAGTCAGGCGCCCAAGTGTGGAGCCCAGACTCTGCCAACAAGGGTCATGACGTTAGCGGCATACGGCCCCCCCACCTCTAGGAAGGCAGCAACTTAGTCTGCCCCTTCTTCAGGGTGGTACATTATGCCATTCCTACAGTCTCTGGAGCTGAAAGGATTGCTAATCTCATTTTATAGTTGGAGAAAGCGAGTCTCCCAGAGAGCCTATGATCTTTTATGTTGTACAAACATAAGCTCTCTTGAAAAGTATGTGTCCAAGGAACAGGCAGATGAAACCCAAGCCACCTGGCTCCAGAACCATCTGTCCTCCCACCGCACCCCCTCCTGACCACTCAGACAGCAGGATGGCCCAGCTGTGGGCAGTGGCAGGAAACACCTCAGGACACCTGGCTGTGAGTCCAGCAGTTTCCTCCCCAGGAAGCAGTCCACTTTGGCGGCCCTGAGCGCCAGTGCACGAGCGTTGGTGAGTGGCCCTAGTGGTGCATTTCCTCCTGGTCCCAGGGCTTGGAGAAAACTCTCCAATGTGAGGAGACCTGCTGACATCGTATGTGTCTGTGAGTTTCCACGTGTGCATGCAGCTTCAGTGTGCTCATGTGTAGGTAGGTGTCTGCAGGGGCATGCATCTGAGTCTGTGTGGTCTGTGTCTGCATGTGCCCTCTGTACGCCCAAGTGTGCCTCTATGTCTGGGTCTGGCTTCTTGGTACCTCCCAATGCTTGTGGACTTATGTATGTGCCTATGTGTCCACTGTGTGTCTGGGTGTGTTTGGAAGTGTATATGAATGTCTGCCTCAGTGACATTGTGAGTTTGCATGCCTGCCTGTCTCTCTGAGTGTCTTTCTCTGTGTGTGAATCTCTGGACAGTTTCTGTGTATGTTCGTGCATCTTTGTGGAACCCTCCCCTGGTCCTCAAATGTTCTTCACCATTCCCTATCCCCTGTCCCACCATCCATGCCTGGTTCTCTTTCTCCAAGAACCTGGATACCGGTCAAGGGTTTGCCTGGGTGTGAGGCCGGTGGGCGGCTGCAAGGGAGGAGGGAGGCCTGGGAGGCAGCCCCTCTCCAGTTCACATTCCAGCTAGGAGCAGGGAGGCCAGGGCAGCCCAGGATCTGACCTTGGTGACCTCTGCGTCCGCTGCTCGCCCACCCACGCTGGCTGCCGAGAAGCTGTCTCCCTGCCTGGACAGCCCCTAGCTCGGAGGTCCAGGACCCAGGGCTAGTTGTTGACTGGCTAAGCAGCGGCTGCAAAGAACATTCTGACGCACTCCAGCATGATAGTGCTCTTGGAGCAAACAGACTCCTTCCTGTGCCCAGGGTCATGGTGAAGGGTCTCTGAGCATCATTGTGTATGTAGATGGGGGTGAGTAGGTGTATTTTTGTGATTTCCAGATCATATGTGCTTGCCCATAACATAAGTGTATGCCCATACGTGTGTATGTGTCTTTATTTTGGATGCAGATGGATTTAGGTGTAGATTTTGTATGTGGGCATAAGTGTGTCTTGTGTATGAGTGCACACATACAATAAGTGTCTATATTTAACATGCTTGTCTCTAACTGAATGTTTTGAGCATTTATACATTGTGCATTGTGTGTTTGCCTGTAACTATGCTCAGGGATATGTGTATGGTGCATGTGTGGGTTTGTTTCATCCATTTATTCATTCATTCATTCAGCACACATTGCTTGAGGCCTATGAAGCTCAGGCATTGCCCCAGGTGCAGGGGGTGTGGTATACGGAGGCTCCCTGGAAGTTTACATTCATATATGTGAATTAGTGTGTGGGGTAGGATGACCAGGGCTTGCAGCTCTCTCCTCCATGCCTGAGTGAGCTCAGTACCTTGAGGTATGTCTGTGATGACTGCCTTTTTGTCAGCTAACTGGGGACCACATCCTTCCGAACCCAGCTTTCTGGGTTGTGAGATGAGTTAGCTAGGGTAGGCTCGGTGGCAGAAACAAATAACACTCTCAAGTCCCCATAGATTAACCCAGTAGAAGGTTATTCTCACTCATACAGTCCAAAGCAGACATTCAGGGCTCAGCTTCACTGTATTGTGGCTCTACTACTAAGCACCATATAACTTCAGGTAACTTCCTTTGGAGTCCGTGGGTGATGCCAACAGTTAACTCTCTTGATTGCTAACCAAAAGGTTGGAGGTTGGAGTCCACCCAGAGGTGCCTCAGAAGAAAGGCCTGGTGATCTGTTTTGGAAAAAAGTCAGCCACTGAAAACACAACAGAGCAAAGTTCTGCTCTGACACATGTGGGATCTCCAGGAGTTGGAAATACTTGACAGCAACCTGTGGGTTTTTAAAAACTTCCGTTACTTCTCATAGCCCTGGTTTCTTCCATCTGTAAAGTGACAATAATAACAGTATGTATTTCATAGGGTTGTGTGAGGACTGATAAAGCACCAGGGGTGGGGGGCAAGAAATGGTAAATGTAGGGCATGATTCTTGTTATGAGGAATAATATGGTGACATAGCAGTGTGCTTGCCAGCATGGACATGAGACGGAAGATAAAGAATCTTATTTTTCTTCCAAGTGTGAAGAAGCAAGAGGATGGGGGATTCTTTCTCTACCTCCCACCCCACACACACACACATACACAGAGACGGAGAGATTCACTCTCCACCATCATCCAGGAATTCAGTCTTCAATTGTCATTGAGGCTTTAGTAGATCCATATGCTAAGGGGATGGCAGAATGGGGGCCACAATTCAGCACTTAACTGTTGATCACTGCTATCATTGTCTCTTGTTTCAGAGGGAGAGCTAATCCTTACTGAGCACCTAGTATGTGTTAGGCAGTGTGCTTTAAACACCTGAACTCACTGAATTCTCACAACAACCCCATGAGGTCGGTTTTAATTACTCCCCTTTTGAAGTTCAGAAAATGGAGGCCCAGGGAGTTGAAGTAACTTACCCATAGTCACTTACCTACTAATTAATCAAGGAGCAGAGGTGGGGATCAAGCCTAGGTCTTTCTCCACAGCTCTTTCCATTGAGCATGAGCTCTGTCAACCAAGTATTTTGAAGGCAAAGCCAAAGCCTTGAACCTTTTCTGGTTGGGTCTTTCCCTTGCCGGAGTGGAGGGGGGCTTGACAAACTGAAAGATTGACATGTAGAAGGGAGAAGCCCTGATCCCAGGCCTGGAGCTGACCCTCTGACAGTGAGTCAGGCAAATGCAGACTCACACGAGGGTGTATGTTGTGGAAACACTGGGCCACCACAGTAGTCACCGAATATGGATCCTCAGCCACGGGGTCCAGTCCTGCATGGCTCCTGTAGGCTGCCAGGTTAGCCCCTGGCTCATGAAGCCACCCACAACCTTTGTATTAGTCACAGACTTAGTCCTGCATCACCTGCCCTAGCCCATCCCACCTTCTGGCTTTCTGACTCATTTCTCTGTTTTGGCCCAGCCTGCTCATTGTCCTGACCCTCTGAACTCTCTCCCAACTATGACCTTTTCTATCTCCCTTAAGGTCAATTCAGCATCTGTCTCTGGAGAGGAGTCTCAGGTGGCCAGGGAGACATAGTCTCAGAGGTGGTTGAGAAGTGGCTTCTCCACCCTAAAATCTCTCCCTTCCTGACTGGCTGAGAGAACAACAGATGGCATGTCTATGCAAGAGGTCTTTTCACTTTATAGGTTGGATATGCTTTGTAGGCAACAGCTACCCTAAGTCACCAACAAAAAGATGCTTTCAATTGGCCCCATAAGTCTTCTATCTCTTGCCTCTTAGTCTGGGATTTCCTGCAGATCCATCCAAAGCTCATCCCTGCATTCCAGCTCCAGGTCTCCATGCATCTTTTTCAGGCAGGACCCAATGGCCTCCTTGGCCACCAACATGGGTGGGACACCCTCTTCCATGTTCTCATAGAAACTTGAATCATCTCTCTGTTGTAACACTTGGTCCTTAGTATCATAATTGCAGGGTTGCTTGTCTGTCTTCCCTCAAACAGTGTAAGGTCTAAGAGGGCAGATGCTGTGTCTCTTATCTACCTTTGTAACTGAGCACCTTGGCTAGTGCCTGGCACATACCAAACCCGCTGCTGTCAAACTGATTCTGACTCATGGTGATCCCACGTGTTTCAGAGTAGAACTGTGCCCCCTAAGGTTTGCAGTGGCTGTGCTCTTTCTAAAGTAGACGGCCAGAACTTGCTTCTGAAACACCTCTGGGTGGATTTGAACCACCAACTTCTAAGTTAGTGGTTAAGCACTTAACCATTTGCACCAGTCAGGGACTCCCTGCCTGACACATAGTTTTTAATCAATAGTTGTTGAGTTGGGCCAATCCCACAGCACTTGCCTCTCTCTGTCTAGGGACAGCTTCCCAAGGCTTTCCATTTCTCATCTAAATGTCCTTCAGTCTTCAGAGGTAGTCCTCTTAGACC